CCAAGTATCTGGCATCGTTCTCCACCACCGTCTCCTCAATCTTCTCCAGTAGTGCTCTAACCTGGATGTCTCCGACCCTGTTTAAGTTATCAAAAACATGATATCTGTTTCCACATTTGTCCACAAGCTTCTGCAGTGCTGGCCATCTTTCAATGTGCTCCTCAATGGGAGAGACTCCCAGTTTGTCTCCCCAGGTGAACAACACAATACTTCGCATCCACACCCAGAGACCGAACAAGCTTAAGTGTTCCTCCACTCTAATTCTGTCGGTTTCAGTGAAGGTCTCATCGGCACGTACAACCACCAGGACAGCATGAGGAGTAGGAGCCCACGGGGATGCACTGCTAGTAATTAGATCCTGTACTTCCCATGGAGTGTCCTCGGAACAGTACCGTCCAAGCCATCCTGGAGTGTCCACAACAGTCATTTGCAGTTTGCCAGCACCACCCTCCCTCTCAGTGACCTGTGATGTTGACTGTCCCACAGAAAAGACTTCACCACCAAGAAGATTGTTTCCAGCTGAGCTTTTCCCAGCCTGCTTCGGTCCCACCACCAGAATTCGAAGCGCTGAAATTGGGGGAAACTCTCCTGTATTGCAGAAATGCAAGATTTAGGTAATGATGTTAGCTTTGCAAATGTATATTTCCATCTTGCAGTTGTTTCAGGTAAATGAGAATGATGAATTTTAGATGTTTCCACAATGCTGGTTTGAAAGAGAAGTTTCCTTCATTAGAGATTTTACTACTGTTAGTACTTGGTAGAACCATAATAGCTGATTTTCAGCAGCTTCAGGTATTCAAAGAAAACCTTTGAATACCTGACTTATTTAGATATCATGACACTGTTAGCATAAAGTTGTGTATGAACACATCCAGCAATTAAACAGCAATTTTGTCATTCAAATGATCTAATTTAGTGTCATACATTTATATAAACATTTTGGCATTTTATGTATTTGCCCCAGGGCAGCTGTGGCTACAACTGTAGCTTGCCTCCACCAGTGTGTGAATGTGCGTGAATGGGTGGATGACTGGGTGTGTAAAGCGCTTTGGGGTCCCTAGGGGGGACTAGTAAAAGTGCTATACAATGATTCTTGATATTTGAAGCAGTATTTGCATTGTTCTTATTAAAAACAAACAAAAAGACAACCACAGAATCAAAGCATATTAATGGAAAGTTGACCAGAAGGGAAAAGCGTGGTAAGAAAAGTGCACAAGCAACACTGATGAATGCAGTCTTGAGAGGAGTCTCAACACGCAAAAAACAGCATTATTGCCGTGAATCATGAATCAGGATTAAAACATCCAAACTGAGAGAAAACAGGAGCAGGAAGAAACACACAGCTAGAGGGAGAAAGGGGGGAAAGAAAACTGAACATAATATAAATGACACAAAAGACTAACAAAATAAAACAGTAAGTACAACCACACTGAAACACCTGGAACCAGAGACGACAGCAAAAATGTTTTACTTGGGCTAAGGAGAAATTAGTCCAGGTAATTTATCACATTACAAACATTAATGTTTATAGTATTATAAAAATGATTGTACCTGGTCTAATTTTCTGAGCTACATAAGTAATAACATCACAGTTCGTGGTGGATGGATGATTAGTCTGCTGAATGCAAATGTTGATATGTGTAAATAAATATCACTGAATCTCTGAGTGCTAATGATTGTATTTTTTTCCCACTAATGCCGTTATGCCTCACAATTGGTGAAGATGGCAGTTGGCCTGGGAGGGGGGTATAATTTTAATCATTTTGATTTATTTTTCTTTTTTCTACTTTTTTTTTTATTTTCACAATTTGTTTTGGTTCAATTATTATTATGTCTTGGAAAAACAAATATGATAGGTGCATGAAGTGACGCTTACCCAGTAGAAATGTGAGGGTTCTTTTAACCATATGCACATTCATTTGCCTTAAAGTCGCCCTCTCCTCCACCTTTTTCCTTTGGCTCTCTGTTATCCTGGACAGTTCGTCATTTCTAGTCACATAACCAACTCCTCCTGCTTTTATATTTTCTTCAACCACTGCATCAATCTTCTCCAAAAGTTCTTTAACCTGAGTGGGATCATCTTCTCCCCAAGTGCTTGTATCTAAAAGGTGGTATCTATACATGCATTTGTCCAAAAGGCTTTTCAGAAACTTATATTTTGCAATGTAACTCTCCACAGACATCCCTCTCAGCTGCTCATATCTCGTGAATATTACTATCGTGTTCCTCCACAGGGTGTCATTTAACTGCTCCAGAGGTCCCTCTACTGTCCATTCCCGACCTCTGTGCGAGCTGATCGGTATAACCATGAGGAAAGCATGAGGTCCCGGTGGACACATGGCCACGCAGGCTGCTGTGTTCATATTTACCAGGCCGGGGTCTTGGACAGAATAGTGAATCCATCTTTCAGGGGTACTGACCACAACCACTTTAAGTCCTTCATCAAGAATAGTTTGTCTCTTAACACACATCTTCACATCTCTGCTGGTATCAAACATCTGTCTGCCGAGGATAGTGTTTCCTGTCAAACTCTTCTCCAGCCAGTCGTGTCCCAAGAGCACAATCCTGAGCTCCTGGAGAATGTGTTTGTTCTCTGCCAGCAGAGAGGACAACATGTCACTGAATTACCACAACTCTGGCATGCAAGCAGCTGATGTGAGACAAAGCCCTCCCAGTGGTTTCACAACTTTCATCTGAGCTATGCAAAATGCTGAAATTCTCTTAACTGCAATGAATTATGTACAGAATAAGAAAATAGAACAAATTGGATTTAATATACTAAAATCAATCAGTCTTGCAAATGTTGTATGGACACATTTAAGACATATACAAGTATAAGTCAGGAACATACCTTTATGGTGTCTGTGAGCCATTAAAACTTTGTCAGCCATCTTTTAAAATGTCACTTTAAAGATGATTCACTATAGTTAAAAACCCTGTTTTCCCAAAAGCAAAGTGAAGTGGAAAAACATCGTCCAGCCCAGTGTCAGCCTGAGCTTTAATGTTTGACTCAGCTCTCTGTCTGATGAAAGGTCAAAGTCCAGCCCGTACCACTCTGCTAGTGGAAGATATCATCTAATTAGCTCACACAGGTAACATTTCTGTAACCATATAATTACATCAAGGAGCCAAGGAAGCCAAGGCCTAAGTTCACTGAGTGTATTTGAGGATCTTTTCTGTGTTCTTACATAGTAGTTAAACATGCTGTCAGTCCTCCAAAAAAGGTCCAAACTACTGAGGGAGGAACTCTTTTAAGACATCTGTGTATGCAGAACCCCAAGGTCCTGTATACATAATATATTGCATGCAAAAGCCAATATGTGTGCAATTCCAGTAATCTAAAGTTTACTGAAGTATATTCTAGCATTTGATTGATTGCTGTGAGATAATCATTTCCGTAATTTAGCAAAATCAATAAATTAAATAGATCGTTTAATTGTAATCTTGGTAAAGGGCAGTATTGTAGTGTTTCCTTGTATGTTTTCGGGTCAGTTCATTTTCATTGAGAAATCTGAAATCTAAAACTGTTAAAATGCATTAAACACCCTTGCTCCCTGATTAAACACCAGATAAACCTAGTTTTCTTACATGTGCGTTACTGATGATTGAGTGGATCAGCTCTTCTGACACAGCCGAACCCTGATATTCACATTAGATTAACAATGCTGTTAGGACCAGGGTGAATTGTTTTGGGGCCCTAGTTAAGATTAAGATTTTGTTCTAAACTAAGAAACGTGAATTTTGTCATCTACTTACATCTTCTGCTCTTTACTGCTTTCCATTTATGTATGCTGTATATTGCACTGAGTAGATTAGACAAGAGTACTTCACTTTTTCCCTCTCCCTCACCTTCTGAGACCTTAAGCCTTAGCCAATACTCTCTCTCTCTGTCTGGCTTACCTGGTCACTAGAAGGCCAAATGTTAGCTTAAAAAGCTGACTAGCAACCACGTCAGTAGCAGCTTGAAACTTAAAGCAGCATTGTTTGATAAAAGTAAAAGCGAAAATGTTCATTTTATCTAATTTGGCTTACTGAGATGTTTCATTGGTATGTGATGTGTCTGAGGCTGAGAGACCACAGAGCCTGAAAAACATGATTATTAGACTGCAACAATATTTTTTAACATAAGCTACTAAACAACAGTTAGCTGTTGTAGTTCATGAGATTAGTGTTCAGAAAATGCATAGTTGACATGTGGACCCTCAATATACTTTTGGTTTTACTCTCAAGTTTTTGATAAAAATCAATGCTCCATATTCTGTTTTTTGGTAAACCAGAAAAACCCACGTGTTATCATAGTTTTGCATTTTTTATTTGTTTTTATTGTTTATGTTTTAAATATTTAATTTAAAGTGCACAACAACTCGATTATACAACAACCCAATGTAAGGTTTATGCAACAGATATAAGTGTACAATGTAACAATGTGCAGGTAACAATGTAGCTAAAATAGCTTTCACTTGAATAGCATTGTACTTCCTACCCCTCTACTGTAAACAGCAACACAAATTTACATCGTAATGAATGTGATGATTAGAGTCAGACACAACAACACCTTAAGTTCAAATAATAAGACAGATAGGATTAAAGAATTAAAGATGAAAAATAAATGAAGGCTCATCTATCAGTCCACTGGCCTAGCTAGTTCATGGTTGCGAGGGATTGGATTCCATGCTGTATAATGGATGATTGATCAATATTCAATAATAACATAATTAATTTGTAAATGTGCAGAGAATTATGGATGCAAGTTTTTAAAATTCTGCAAAAGAAGATATGTAGCAACAAGAGATGATCTTTTAGCATGATTATAATCTATAAGAGCATGTCAATGCTTACTATTGCTCTGGGATGAGCCATAGGCTTTGCTGACTGAAACATGGAGGAAATATTAACCACAGACACTGTTTTATATATCTATTACCATTTATCTACAAAGTGCATAAATTAAAAAAGAAGTAAAAGGTAGAATATAAAAACTAAAAATACAAAACTTGATGTCACATTTCCTGAGAAAACAGAACATGGAACATTATCAATTGATCTTTGTCAAAAACAGTAAAACATAGTATGGCCTGTCCCTATAAGTCATCTACAACAGAATAGCTCACATAGTAAATTCTTTACTCAAAGGAAAATGCTGCATTTTACTCTTGTTTTTTTAAGTAAACTAAACTTGATGTAAGTTAGTTTCTTGTAAGATTTAAGTAAAGTCAGGATTCTGTTTTGTATTTTGGTGAGTTTGAATCCATATATGAGAGGGTTCATAAAAGGTGGAATGATGAGAATTTCAACTGTAATGAAGTTTTTGAGACTTTCAGAAAAACCTGTGTACTCAAATTGCACATATATCGACTGAAAACCAATCACAACTATAAATGTGATCAAAGAGGTCAGGTGGGGCAGGCAGGTCTGCATAAACTTTTCTCTGTCCTCTCTGGACCTCGCACATGTTTTAATGAGATGTGTGTAAGTCCACATTATAAAAAAGCCATGAGACACATAAATGATAACTGTTGCATATGCTGCGATGTGGTTTGTAAAGGTTTCAGCTTCAGGACAAGCAAGTTTAACAATTAACCAGTTTACACATAAGACTCTCTGAATGTTTATACCACATAACTTCAGTCTTGATGTTAGCAGGACATTAATGGCAAAAATACATAAAGGAGTTAGCCAGGAGAAACACACCAGCTGAGAGAGCCTCCTCTTAGTCATGAAAGAGTGGTAGTGCAGAGGTCGACATATAGCCAGATACCTGTCAAAGGCCATGACAGCTAAAATGGACAAATCACAGCAGACAAATGAATATATGACAAAAGCTTGTAAAAGGCACCCTTCATATGAGATTGTTTGGGAAGACCTTAGTAAATCTGAAAGGAATTTTGGGTAGAAACCTGTGGTCCCATAAATTGTGTTAATGCAAAAGCTACTCAGGAAAATGTACATAGGTTCGTGCAGATTTTCATCCAAGAAAATAAGCAGCACAAGAGAGACATTGAAAAATAAAATCATGCAGTAATACAGTAAAGTGAATGTGAAGAGAGGCACTCTGAAATTCATCGTCTCATTAAATCCTGACAGAATGAAACTTCTTACATTCGACACATTATCCATGATCAGAGAACACAGTTACCGTCTTAGTGTAACAACATGTGAGTGTACAGAGCAAAGAGCTGCTGTATCTACATCCCTAACAATATCTGCTCTTCCTCTACGCCTCCTGTTAATTACTGCCTTTGGCTCAACAACAAAAAACACACACCTGGGAATTCAACCTCTGTTGCTTGGGGGGATACATGACTGGCTACTAGTGGAAGTTTTCCTTCTCTTTTGCCAGAAGCCGAAAATGTCCACAAATGACGAAAACCTGAGACGGTCGTGAACCTTTCAAGGAGTGCCCAGTTGACCAAAATTACCCCAAGGACGCAGCGAAGACCGCAAAAGACCCAAGAACAACATCCAAAGAACTGCAGGCCTCATTGCTTCAGTTAATGTCAGTAAGAAAGAGTTTGGCCAAAAATGTATTCCAAGATGAAAACCACTGCTGAGCAAAAGGAAAATGAAGGTTTGTCTCAGTTTTGCCAGAAAACATCTTGATGATCCCCAAGACTTTTAGAAAAATAACTCTGTGGACTGATGGGAGAGAAGCTGAACTTTTTGGAGTGTGCGTGTCTGATAACATTCAGTGTAAAAGTCACACAGCATTTCAGAAAGACCATCACCAAAATATGGTGGTGGTGGTAGTGTGATGGTCTGGGGCTGTTTTGCTGCCTCAGGACCTAAATGAAGGTAAACTGAAAAATGAATTCTGCCGACTGATGCTTGACGCATCAATAAATGAGTTGATCTGAGAGGACCTACAAAGTTATTTGAGGGTTTATCTTTAAAAGTGACAAGTTAAATAATAAAAACAGTCGTATTTGTAATATCGAGGTAGGTAGTTGATTAGTGTGATTAGTGCATGCAAATGTAGACATGTGGAGTGCAGAGTGCTTATTCTGTCCCTCCTGTTATTTCTAAGGCATGTTTTTTATAAGTTTGTTATATGGCGGGTCATAATCATTAGTTCTGTAATTAACTGTTGCAACGTGTCAGAAAATATGTTTATTCCTGATCTTGTCTGGGCAAAGCCTGCCATCTAGTGGGTTGACAGGGTAGCGCCATGTTAGAGCGCAAGCAGTGGTTTTCTCCCAGCGCTAGACAGGGAAGGTCCATTTCTCTGTGTCTCTGTAATTTCCTGCATCTGGCGCCCTTGAAAAGGCATAATCTGTAAGTGTGGCAAAACGGTTTATTGTTCTCACTTATTAGTACCTTGTTCAGCAAAGTAATGAGTTTCTTGTGTGTTTAGTGAGTTTGTTACATTACTAGCATAAGCTAGCTGTTAGCCCTTTCGTTAGCCTGCTAGCATGAAGCATACCAGCATGTGGTGTTAGCTGTATCTCTTGACATGTGTTGATACTGAGATTGTGTAGTGACTGTTTACACAAGTCAACAATATTTAATGTAATCTTTGTGTATTTGTATGGAGAGTGAATACACTGTATTCTGTTTCTGTTATTACAGTTTTACAAAAAGAAACATAAGGATCAGTAAAGCTCTGAAGAATGCCACGCGGTCTCCTGAGTGTTTACTGAAGCCATTTAATGTTTAGCTCTCTGCATAAGCTGGATAGAGACGTTCAGCTGAGGGCAGAAGAGTAAAAAGACTGCCAGGATCCTGAGACACTCCACTCCAGCGACAGCAATCATGTCCAACCACGGAGACACCTCGCAGCTTTCACAGCTGGAAGTCAGGTCGGAATGCAGATCAGCAGCTTCACGCCGGTCAAACAGCTCAGCAGCAAGCCTTGCTGCAGCGCGAGCACGAGCTGAAGCCGAAGCTGCTCGAGCAAGAGCAGAATACGCCAAACGCCAAATAGACATGGAGGTCGAAAAGGCCCGGATGGAGGCAGCGCTAAATGCTCTGAAGCAGGAGGGAGAAGCAGAAGCAGCACTTGCAGCTGCAAGGGTCCTAGAGGCTGCAGTTCTGGACCAGGCAGAGTCTGTGAAGCCACCAGACATTCCTGCGGCTGTCAGTCGCACTCAAGAGTATGTAGATACCCACTTCCACAACAACACTAATATGGAAGGTGAGTCAAAACACAGTAGAGAGCAAAAATGTGACTTAGACAACACCCACACTACAGGGCCGGACATATCAGCAGCAGCTCCACATGGGTACCCCCCCAGTTCTCCACCCGTTTGGCAGCCCAAACTTCCACCTCCCCATTGGTCCAACCATGTTGGAGCAGCCACACCACAACGACAAGCAGATGTATCAGACCTCGCTGCCCTCCTCTCACGCCGTGACCTACTGACAGCAGGACTGACAGTGTTTAATAACAAGCCAGAGACTTATCTAGCATGGAGATCTATGTTTCACAATGCCACTAAAGATTTAAACCTAAAGTGCAGTGAAGAACTTGATCTGCTCACTAAGTGGCTTAGTGGGGAGTCTCTCCAGCATGCTCAGAGAATCAGGGCTGTCCATGTTAACAATCCAGAAACAGGTCTTCAGCGTTTATAGCAAAGGCTAGACAGGATTTATGGCTCATCAGAAGTTATTGAAGCTTCTCTGTTCAAACGCCTAGAGAGCTTTCCCAGAGTTACTCCGAAAGACAATCACCTTCTTCAGGAACTTGCAGATCTCCTCCTGGAACTTGAAGCAGCAAAAAATGAAGGATATCTACCAGGCCTCAGCTTTCTCGACACTCCAAGAGGCATAAACCCAATTGTGGAAAAACTCCCACATACCCTGCAAGAGTCATGGATCAAACAGGGGTCCAAGTATAAGAAAGAACACAGAGTGCACTATCCGCCTTTCGCCTACTTTGTTCAGTTCGTGAATAGCAATGCTGAAATGAAAACTGACCCCAGCTTCATTTTACAAAATTACAGCACTGGGCACATGAAGATAGAAAGGCCACTGGTGAGACAATCACATTTTAGAGCCCCGCTAACAGCAAACAAAACACAGGTTGGCACACCCAGCAACAAATCTAACACTCACTCTCTTGATCCCGACAAACAGTGCCCAGTACACATGAAGCCCCATTCACTTGCAAAATGTAGAGGGTTTAGGATGAAAACACCGGATGAGCGGAAAAGTCTGCTCAAAGGGCTCTCGATCTGTTACAAGTGTCTCTCATCAACAGAACACAGGGCCAAAGACTGTAAAGCTGATATTCGTTGTCTGGAGTGCAAAAGCAATACCCACATCTCTGCCATGCATGCCGGGCCACCCCCTTGGACAAGTGGGAGCTTTGATTCTACACCAGAGGCACACAGAGGGGAGCCAGACATCCCGAGCTCCACAGTGACCACATCTAACTGCACTGAGGTATGTGGACAGGGACAACAAGGACGGTCTTGTTCTAAAATTTGCATGGTGAAAGTATATCACAGCACAGCCCCTCAAATGAAAACGAAAATGTATGCAATTTTAGACGACCAAAGTAATGTGTCACTGGCTCGTTCTCCCTTTTTTGACATGTTTAATGTACATGGTGAAGACTTTCCATACACAATGAAAACATGCTCTGGCACAACGAACAAAACAGGCCATAGAGCTCACGGCTTTGTCATTGAGGGTGTTGACGGAAAAGTGTCCATACCACTACCAACACTGACAGAGTGTAATCAGATTCCTGATAACAGGAGTGAGATACCCACCCCAGAAGCTGCAGCTGCTCATCATCAACTAGCTCACATAGCCGCACAAATACCCCCTCTTGATCCAGAGGCAGATATTCTCCTCCTCTTAGGCCGTGATGTAATTCAGGCTCACAAGGTTCGACGCCAGGCAAATGGGCCCAATGAAGCACCTTACGCCCAAAAGCTTGATCTTGGATGGGTAATTGTTGGGGATGTTTGCCTCTCGGGAGCTCACAGACCCACAGTGAACTCCTACAAGACTAACATACTGGATAATGGCCGCCCCAGTTTTCTCTCTCCCTGTTGTAACAGAATCTACACAAAGGTGAAGATCACAGAAGAATGCCCCCTTTTTGAGAGCACACGGGTCAAAGATGAACTGGGCAAACACATCTTTCAACAAACTACTGATGATGACAAAATGGCACTCTCTGCAGAAGATAAGACGTTTCTGAACATTATGCACAAAGAGTTTGCTAAAGATGATGCAAATAACTGGGTCGCCCCCCTGCCCTTTCGTCATCCC